AAGGGTTACTTTTATTGATACTAAGATTGAAAGAAAAGTTGAGAAGCTGCTTTATGGCCTGAGACAGAAGGGAAGCAAATGAAGATGAAACAAGAGAATTTCTTTAAAAGCTATGCATGATGCTTTTTCCCTTTTCTATGTCATAATGTTGAGATATATTGTAAAAATGAGTATGAGGGATATATAGTATTATAAAAATGATTAAGGGTTTAAAAAAAATTATTACAATCCCAGAGGTGCATGGTTCAAATCCACCAGATGCTCTGCTAGAGAAGGAGGAACAGTCTCCTCCTGTACCAGTCAGAACTGATTTGACGGTACACACAACACACACACACAAAATAATAAAATAAAAAAAAGATTAAGGGTTTTATTGATTTAATGATAAGATATATTGTGAAAATGATTAAGGGTTTTCCCCCTCTATTTAAATTGATTTTAACAAAAGTTTACAGAAGAGTTGGATTTTCATTGATTGTTGCACATTTTCCTCAACCCCTCTACCTTACCCTTCCCCCAGTTCACTTCACTTTCATATATATATATATATATATATTCATTCATTGTTGCTGTTTCCTCCCTCCTTCTCCACTCCTCCACCCCCAGTCCAGTCCACTTTGCAATGCACCTCTTATTCTGAACTGCTGTCATATATATAATGCCAAATCCTATATTCTTCCCCCCCCCCACTTCCTGTGTATTTCTTTCCTTCATCTGTTCCAATGCAGTGTTAATTATTTATCCATTGTTTTCCAAGTTTTTCCCCCAAGTCCCCTGTGAGTTTTTTATAAAAATGGCATTATGCAGTACTTGTCCTTTTGTGACTGAGATATTTCATTCAGTATAATTTCTTCCAGGGTCACCCTTGTTGTGTAATGTTTTATGAGTTCATGGTTTTCAGTGCTGCATAGTATTTTGTTGTGTGACTATAACATAGACTTTATATCCATTCATTTGTTGATGGGATGGGATGATAAGGTTTTTGTTGATTTAACTGTACTGAATATTTTTATATTGAGATATATATTGTAGGTTATGGAAAGCATACTTGATGGATATTGATGAATTCTTCTATGTAGCAATGTTGATGAACACAGGATGTTATTTTTTAATTTTTTAAATTTTTTATTATTTTGTGTGTGTGTGTATACCGTCAAACCAGATCTGACTGGTACAGGAGGAGATGGCTCCTCCTTCTCCGGCACAGCATCTGGTGGATTCGAACCGCTTATCTCTGGGATTGCAGTGCTGCTTCTTGCCACTAGGCCACCAGCGCTCCCCGAACACAGGATGTTATAATGATGGAACATACTGTAATTTAGAAGTAGAATGTAAGCCAGGTGGCTATTAATCAGATATTCAAAAAGAGAAAATTTGCCTTAAAAGAATGCTTGTAGTAAGTAGTAGAATTTGATACGGAGTATGGAGCTTAGCCTAACAGAGTTTAAGCCCCACACAGTACTCTGAAGAGAGTTATTTTTTTAAAAAGACAAGTAGAAAAAGAGACTTTGCCAATGAACTGAGGCAAGGTAAAGCTGATGCCTCTCCAGGGCTTGATGTTAAAAAAGCTGATAACAACAACCAGGAGAGGATAAAATAGATGAATAGGACCTTCTAAGAATCAAATCTCTATGCACATCCAAACACTTCCCCAACATGTCAAAAGGGAAGCCACAGATTGGGAAAAAATATTTGGTAATGACATGTCAGACAAGGGACTTATATGTAGAATTTATAAAATACTCGAGCATCACAAGAAGATAAATAACCCAATTGAAAAATGGGCACAGGATATGAACAGACACTTCACCAAACAAGACATTTAGATAGATGGCCAACAAGCACATGAAGAAATGTTCAAAATCGCTAGCTCTAAGAGAGATGAAATTCAAAACTATATCATCTCACCACAGTAAGAATAGTAAAATTTAACAGAACAGCAAACATCAAATGCTGGCGAGGTTGTGGACAAACTGGAACCCCTATACACTGTGGAAATGTAAAATGGTGCAACCACTATGGAAGGCAGTATGGCACTTTCTCAAAAAGTTGCAAATAGAAATACCATTTGACACGGCAATTCCACTACTGGGAATTTACCCTAAAGAAACCATAACTGTCATCCAAGCAGATATATGCACACCCATGTTTATTATTGCGGCTTTGTTCACAATAGCAAAGAACTAGAAATAACCCAAGTGCCCATCATCAAACCAACAGATAGAGAAGCTCTGGTATATTCACACAGTGGAATACTATGAACCATTGAAAAACAAGGAACTCATGAAATATTATGCAAAATGGATGGCCCTGGAGAACATTATGCTGAGTGAAATATCTGTCACAAAAGGAAAAATATTGCATAGGGCCACTGTTGTAAAACAGGACTGACATCAGGGTTGAGGGAAGACAGAAAAGGAGGAGAGGAATAATGTATACTGCATTCAAACAGATGAGGGAGAAAACTGCTTAAAAGGGACATATGAATGGGAGTTCTTATCATTACACAAGTCCAGAGTGAAGGCTGCATAGTGGAATGGACTTTCAGGGGAGGGACTGCATAACAATGAAAGAGTTTTTCTTTTTCTTTTCAAGGAGAACAGCGAATTGGGGGAGGGGGTGGGTAGGGAGAAAAGTGCAAAATTGAATGACTGGAAACCCTAAGTCTCTGTAAACTTTCATTAAATTTAAAAAAAAAAGCTGGTAAGTATGCTAAATTTGCAGTAACCACCTGGGCCCACTTGATAGTGGAAATGGGAGACACACAGTAATAAAGGAACAGGCTGAGTTTGAACATGTTCCTTCTACACTGTCCGCGTAGCATGATGAATGGATAAGGGAGAAGGGTTGCTGGTTGGTGGAGCAGGGAGTCCTGAGGATCCCTGATGTGTTGACTTAGCTTATATGAGGCTAAGGTTGAGTGTAGGGACCAGCCTGCCTGAAACACAAGAAGTGTGGACTCCTGAGTTTGCAGCTGTTGTCCATTTGGATCTAGCCACAGATGGCTGGGGAGGCACTGACCAGAACCCAACCAGATTAAGATGTTTCATTCTGTGAGCTAGTGTTGATTAATGTTACCTTATGGTTTTCTCTGGACTGGATCTTTGTTTATAGATGCAGATGCTCAAAGCTTCAACTGTAAGACTCTTTAGAGAATAAAACATGCTTGGTTTCCTCAAAGCACTGGTTTGATAAGACTGGGTAAATCAGAGACTGACTATACAAAATGAGGGGATTAAGACTCAAGGCATGAAGTAGCTGGCTGGTGTACTTCCATGAATATAGGTGATGGTAAGGGGAAAGTTGATCTTTCAGATTATGATAGATAATAGCTAGAAAAGTCTGTGGTGTCAGTAAGTTATTTTAAAATTTGGCTTTCCTATCCATCGCATGAACTCCCACTGGAAGCATGATCTCCAGCTACCTTAACTACAGACACATGGTCTTGCAAATCATCAACAGCTGTAGGACCAATATAACAGAGTGAGACTGTGACAAGATGTAGCCTTACAGAACCCTGGAGAGCCAAACTTAAAGGGTTTGTTCCTGGACGACTGAATGAAGCGCTGATTTGTGACTGCAATAAGATAAAGCTTGCTGGAAGATTAAGGAAACCAGAGATTTATTTGTGCTGCTGAACTGAACCTAGACTTTGGCTTGTTGACTGAGAAGCTGTCTGAACTAATTGAGAAATTAGTCTGTTGGGGATGCTGTTCACTAAACCTGGACTTTCACTGTATTATCCTTGTCTCCCCCACACTCCAACCAATTTCCCTAATAAACCCCACAACTGTGAGTAAAGTCTGAAAGTCAATTTGCAATGAACATTGAACCCAATGATTCATAAAAAAAGGAACATGATGAGCATGGGGGGGTTGGCCTATCTGACCTCATAGCTCTTTGGTACTATGAATGTTATTGATGGGGACAGTTTCCTTTTATGAAGAAGTTGAAGTTAGACATGGCTTTTCTCATGTTACTGCTGTTCCTTTTACAGTTTGGGAACAAATTCTGAAGGAATCCCTGGAACAGAGTGGCTGTGTCCTAAAGTCTCAGCTCCTTACAGCCGGCTGGCATCTCAAGTTCCAGTCGCCTCTGACTGAGCTCCCTCCCACCTCAGCATTTCCCTCTTGCAAATCTTCAGTGCAGCATGATAGGTTCAGGACTCAGAGAACAGAACTTAAGCACTGGAGACCAAGTGGTAGCCAATGAACAAATCTCCTAACTTCCCTGAGAGGACTGGCCTGGGGTTGGGCTGCCCTTCCAAAGTCCATGAAGGGAACACTAGGCACTCCTGGTTAGTTTTTACCAACACCTTTTCATTGATGAGTAAGACAACATCAAAGAATAAATTGTGCATATCCTAAAGAAGAGCTGTGACGCCAACAGATGTATCCATACCCATGTTTATTGCAGCATTATTTATAACCCAAAGAACTGGAAACAACCCAAGTGCCCACCCATGGACAAATGGCTAAAGAAATTGTATAACACTCACACAATGAAGTATTAAAAACAAGAAACTATATACAGAAAGAATCAATCTTGGACAGTTAATAGAGATGAGAATTAAAGGAGAAGGAAGCAAAAAATAAATAAATAAAATCCTTTTGCCAAGTACACAAAAAATAGATGATAAATAAGTATTACGTATATATTTAAAAAAAAAAAAAAGAGCAAGAATACCTCCCAAGTACATTCGTCTCTATTATTTAGGTATAAATTGAAAGGGCTGGAGAATTGGGGGCAGGGGGAGTTTAACAGAGTATCAGTTTGAGAAGTCATCTAAAGACTATAGAAGCAATGTCTAAAGAGTGAAAATAATTTTTTAATAAAGCATAAATTGTGGAAATGACAAGGTGGAAGGCTGGATCAATTCTAGCTGCTCTTAGAGGGACAAGGTGCTGAGAGGTCTTCATCTGCCTCCCTGAGACCCCAGCTGGTCTGAGTGGGTACGCAATGGGCAGGTCTCCTTGGCTCAAACTGGAAGGGGAGCGCCCCTAGGTACCCAGCTCCTCCCCGCAGCTGCCGCCCTTCCGACTCCACATCTCGTTCTCCAGCCGCAGCCGTTGGTTCTCCATGCGGAGCCTTTCCACCTCAGCGGCCAGCACCTCCACCTGGTGAGAGGGCTGCTGGCTGGTGACTCGTTGCTGCCGCAGCCTCCACATCTCCTCCTCAGCCTGGGACAGCCGCCTCTCCAGGTCCAGGTAGTCTTGCACCAGCTCCTGCTTGCTGCGGCCCTGCAGGATCTCGGTGTGGTAGCACTCATAAGCTTCAGAGAAGTCCCTCTGCAGGAACTCCCCACGAGCCTGATCCCGCTCATCACTGTCCCCTGCCTCACTTTCCCCACTGGAGCCCGGGTGGGAGAACCCTTGGAGTATACCCAAGTTAGGCTCCTGAGGGTCTCGGTCATTCATCAGGAACTGGGTGGTGTTGTAAGGAGCTACTGGCTGGCCCTTGGCGAACATCTCCTCGCGCACCTGGGAGGCCCTCTGGCTCAGCCGCTCATCCCGCTGTTGCTTCTCCGCCCAGCTCAGCTCCAGATAGGGCCTCCAATGCCGCTTGCGTTTGGATGGCCGGCGGCGGTGCTTCTTCCGGCCCAGCACTGCCTCTGCGGAGCGGACCTCTGGACCCTGGCCTAGCGGACCTCTGTGGTTCCTGCCCAGGTCCCCACCAGCCCCTGCAGGCTCCTCATCCTCTGAGTGGCTCTCCATCCGGGGTGTGGGAGGCAGAGAATTTCCGAGATCATAAGGCTCAGAGGTGGTTTCAGGGCTCTCAGGAACCCCGAAGTTCTGGAGAGAGTGAGAATGACAAGGAAGATTTCATAGACAGTCTCTCCCTGGTAGTAACCATCCCTGTCCATTGAGCCTAAAGCGACCGTTCCCACAGCCAGCTAGCCTAGTCACACTCTAACCTCTCTCCTTCAGCATCCATTTTTATTGGGCTTTACCTGTTTAGTGTCTGCCCACCTCTCTCCACCCTCAAGTAAAACTCACAGGAGATCAGGAATCCTGCCCGATCTGTAATTTCAATGCCAACAGTACCTGGCACAGAGGAGGTGTTCACTTAAGACTATTTGCATGAATGAAGTGGGAGAAGACAAGACTGGGATGGAAAGTAGCTTTGATGTGTTTGCTCAATCAGAAACCCAAGTAATACTTGCTGTTCTCGCTACCTAGAAAGCATGTCTTTCCGACTGGGAAGGCACCATGGTCCCCACATTCACAGAAGTCCCACATTTAATACTCTGCTGATGCCATCTTGAAATTCTGAGTAATTTTTTAAACAATGAGGCCTTTTTACACTTGGCCCTATAAATTATATAGTTGACCCGGCTTCCAGATTATCTGCATAAGTAACTTTTTTCATCCCTTAGGGATCAGCTCCAATGTTGCCTCTTCAGAGAGGCTCTCCTTGACCACCTACCAAAAGTAGCTTCCACCTCTCCTCCCCAGTAGCTCCCTTTCAGTCACTCGTCCCATCTGACAATGACCATGTTACCATTTACTGACTTCCCTCCATTAGAATGTATTTGGTCTGTTCAGTTCACTACTTAATATGCTTAACACAAGGTTCCATCAGTGTTGTTATAAGCCTCTAAAAAAGGGGGGGTCCAAAAGATATTACACAGTGAGGCTCTCCTTTCCCTAGTTCTAGGGGAAGAAAGTTCAAGTGTATTTATTCCAAACAGAAGATGGTTTCTTCTGCATGCGAGCTATGAAAGAGGTTCTACTTTGAAAGAAGAATCAACTTTAGTCTGGAACTCAGAGAGTTCCAGAACTTATCTAAGAGGTGGAAAGGATTCTGCCCAGAGTGTGTCTGTGGTGGGAGAGTGCATGTCTTTAGGCCATCTGTTTATCTCAGTGTGGTGAGGGTAGGAATACTGATTGTGGGGGATAGAGCATGAATTGCTCTAAATTTGTGGTTTGGGAAATTTCTAATAATAGCCACTGTCATAGATATGTTATTTTATGATATACAATATGGCTGAGAGACATGTATCAGTCTATACAGGCATAAAGTGTACAGTGGGGATACGGGGTATGCAGTCTTGTACCAGCAGGGGATAGATTATGTGTATTCTAAAGTTCCTGAAGAGAAAAGGAAGCACGTTAGAGTATGTGAGAGTGAGTGTGAATGGGAGTACAACAGAGTGTGCCTGTGTGTATGTGTGGTGTTCAGTGTGTTCACCAGTAGATTAATTAAGAACAAGAGACCCTTGTGAAGGGAAAGGCAATATCCAATGAGGGGATGTTCAGCACTAAAGGGGAGGAGACACAGAGAAATATGAAAAGATTAGTGAAAATCAGAAAAATAGGGAGGAAGTGGGAAAAGGGTAATTATATAACGTGTAGTCAAATTAATGTTACTGAATGTGTATGAATGGCTGAATGAAAAATTAACTTGTTTTATAAATTACTCAAATCACTGTTAAAAAAAGAAAAGAGAAACAGGCTTTGCCATAATCAGTGACTGTCAACCGAGACAGAACTGGAGAAGACCAGTACCAACACAGCAAAATGGTTGGTTTGTGTATATGCAATCACTTACCTGTTTCCAGCCCTCAGCAAATGTCATCTGATGATCTTTCCTCCCAACAGAGCTGGCCCTGCCCCTGGGGCCTACATGTTGACTCCCTCTCGAAGGCTATTTCCTCCTGTACCACTACTATTATTATTCTATCACTCCTACCTTAATGACATATTCCAAAGATCAGGTGGTTAAGTGAAAATGACCCTATGTAAAAACGGAGGATGACCACAAGAGATCACAGAGGGAATGGCTGCATCCTCATAAATTGCCAAACCATGTAGAATCATGGCCCAGCCAAGTTGGCACATAACCTTACTATCATCTCACACCTCTGCATTCTTATTGACAGATATAAGTCATTAATGTCCAAAAGATGGGTTGTTATTTTTTTTTTAAAGTATTATCATAAATGTAAAATGTTGACTAAAAAGATAGTTGATAAATGAGGAGTAAGTGTAATACAGATAAGCTGTGTGACTTAAGTCAGTCATTTGCCCTCTCTGAATCTTTTAGTTTTAACATGCTGAGCCCTAAATTAAATCAATCCTGAAAACACTAGAAATTGCGGAAGTGTGGTTCGGAAGTTCCCTCCTGCCCTACAGGGAGGAAATGTGGACAAAGTGGAAGAAATAAGAGCTTGTAAGGGCCAGGAGGGTTTTGGACGTTCAGGGGTAGCATGGAGATGACCTTTTGCCTCCCATGCTTGATTCTAGCTGATGCACCTTGTGTGCAGCTACCTTTGTCAGTAGAGGCGTGGCTATTGTTATGACACAGAAAAGGCTTCAGTGGAGTTTCCAGACTAGGAAGAAAGGCCTGACAATCTACTTCTGGAAACCAGCCAATAAAAATCCTATTGTAGATCCTTTTCCAGTTCATAAGCGTTGATGATTGGGTATTCATGGTTTTGTATGACATGTGCCTCCCTTAAACCTCGTTACAACGTTGGCACATTACCAGTCTGATGTGAAAAAAAACACACAAAAATCCCCTACAATTCACATGCTCTGATTTGCAACTGATCATCTGCAGGACCAAGAGGTGTTTTGGTCCATTTTGCATGGGGCTGCCGTAAGTCAGGGACTGGCTTGACATCAAGAATCAGATGAGAAATGATGTCCTAAGGGACCTGAAACAACTTGCCTCTCTCATACCTCTTGAGTGATAGCCTACTCCCCACCACCACCTCAAATTAGAGATCAACTGTTCAAACTTTCCTTTCTGCTTCAGTCTCGGTTCTCAGCTTGGGCAAAATCAACGCAGTTCTGTGGCCTTGAAGGCAAGGAACGGTTCTGTTATCAGAAAGCACTTGGTTTTATACTTGGGTCTGTTGTTTGCAGGCTGCATGATTTAGGATAAGGCATTTCACCTCCCTGGGCCTTGGCTTCTATAAAATGGAAAGACTCTTACCCTGAAAGGCTACTAAGATTTCATGAGCTTGCACAGAATTACTATCTCTGGCATGTTGCCCAGCATGTAGTAGGGACCCAATTAAAAATGTTAGTCTTCCTAATCTGCTAACACACCTGGGCCAATCCAGGATCCCAGCTGGCAGGATCCACGTGCAGGAAACTCAAACAGCGGTGTCAGGGCTTACCTTGGCCTCCTCCAACGTTCTTGGTGACTGCATTACAGCTGGTCTGGCTTGGAGGGATCACCTTCTGTTCCAAATTTCGGAGCAGATGTCTTTACAAATACCTGCTTGAAAAAACAACAACGGAAATCTAAGTCCTAAGGGGGAATTATCAGGACAGAGCAGGCTGCCCAGGAAGTCTTTAGTAAGGCACTGGCAGCCATTTTGTAACTTCAGACTCACACACCCTACTTAGAAAGGAAAGCCCTGGAGCTACTTCCACACCCAGGTTTTGAAGCCGGCATCCAGCCTGGGGTCAGATGATATTAAGGGTGCTGTTCCTCAGGTTCTAGGTCAGAGTTTAACTCGCGTCCTATCCATTTGGAGGGCCCAGTCTGGGCAGTGGGGACGGTAGGCCTACTCTGTTTGTCTAAACACTCAAAGGAAAAAGACTCTCCCAATATACTATCTACAGTAAGAGACTAGGAGGGGAGTGAGTCTGCGGCTCTTGGGGTTCTTTCCCCACTGCAGGAAGAGGCTGAAATCCTGGCTGCACCTCAACTGAGGCGGGGGAGGGGGGGGGGCGGTCCCGAAGGCAATGCTTCTTGAAACACGGTTGGACCCTGGCTTGCCTCTCTCCTTCTCTAGATGGAGAGTAGAAAAAAGGGGAGATGAAGTCGTAGCTTTACATGCAGCTGGACGGGAAATTCAGATGGGAAAGAGCTGAATTCCTTGCAAGAGGGGCAAATGGCTGGGAAAGAGATTTTGGCAAAGGCGGAACTGACCTATTTGCTGTCAAGGGCTGCGCACCCTACACCTGTGTGTCTTTCTGTGCGGCAGCCTGTGCAATTTCGAACGTCTCAGCCCTACGTCCTGCAGCTGCAGAAGCTCTGGTCAAGCCGCTCAGGCCCTAACGAGGGGACGGTGCAGACAGGCTGCACAGCGCGAAGCCTGCTGGGGATTGTTGTCCTTTTAGGCTACGAAGGCGGACCGAGACCCTGTCCCCACTAACAGTCAAATCGCAGAACTCCAAAACCCATCTGCCCTTGCGCGAGGAGCGTTCCGCGCGCGCACCATTTCCCGTTCTCTGATTGGCCAGAACAGACGTCAATATGCCTGCTTTTGAAAACGATTAGCTGTGCGGAAGCACAACAAGGGTCGCCTTCCTCGAACTTAATTAAAGAGTTCATTGATGGCGTTAATTTTGACTGGGCAGAAAGAAGATCCGGCTGAGGGGCGGGGCCTGGGTGCGTAGGGATCCTAGGGCCTAGAGGAAAGCGACGAGAAGCTCGGTGGCCGCCGCCGCCATTTTGGGCTGGGAGGAGGCAGCGGAGGGACTCGCTGCGCAGTGAGAACACCCCATGGGGGGGTGGTCCGGGCGCGGGGAGAGGCCAGGCCGAGTGGGCTGCCTGAAGTGGCGGCTCAGGGAGACGGTGGGGTGTGATACCGAGGGTTGGGGCGGGGACGAAGGTTGGAGTCTCCCCGCCTGGGCCTGGGCCTCAAACCGTCCCGGCAGCCCTGTAGCCTCGCCCCTTACAGAGGTCAAGGTTCTTGGGTAATTACCGCGTGTTTCCCGAGCCCCCAGTAGGGGAGAGATCGGGTGAAATGACCCTTCTGCCTCGTTTCCACGAGGGCGCGGATCTGGAGGCTGAGTTCTGCCAAGTTCTCTCCCCAACGCCATCCAGCCCGGGTATGGCGGCGAACGGGGCCCCCACCTCGCCTGTGTAGGTGGAGGGGTCACGCCAGGTTCCAAAGGCTGGCGCCGCAGGACAAGGTGGAGGTCGCGGCTTTGGCGGCGCGACCTCACCTTGGCTTCGCGTTCAGCTGGAGGTGGAGAACATAGTGCGACCACCATCTCCCCCCGACCCCGTTCACCAGCCTGGCCCGCCGCCCGCGCAGCTAAAAGGAACAGTCGTCTTCGCACTGTAGCGATCTCCGAGTTCCCCCGGGTCCTATAGACGTGAAAACTTTTGCGAGCTCGCTGCTTGGAGACCTCTGAGCGCCCTAACCCTCAAAGGTTTCCCCATTCATCCCCGATTCCTGCCATCACTGGCCTCCCCCACGTCTGCTTTCACTTCGGGAGACTCCTGAAGTATGCTGTCCCACTTCTCTTGAAAGTTCACACAGAAAGGGATGGGTCTTTGCCCTTTACAGTTGGGAAAGAAAAGAACTCTAGTCGCCCCAGCCCAGGCATAGAAAATGCAATGGCCCACTTGGATACTGCAGGGATACGATGTTTGCATTTTGAAATCCGAGCCATAACTTTTTTCCCCAAAGCTTTTGGAGAAATGGCTGCCCCTTCAGGAGGAAAAAACGAGTTGATTCCAGTATGGCCCTTATGTGACTACAGATTCTTTGAGATTCAAAGAATTTTCTTCCTCTCCCAAAACTAAAAAAATAGGGAGCATGTTGCAGCCAGTGGTGCATTGTTACTAGGGAGCTGCTTCTGGAATTCCAAGTAATTGAAATCACTTCTGTAGATCTTAGTTACTTACTAGCAAAGTAGAAATAGTAGAATTTAGCCACTTCATGTTATGTGATATAGACGGTCTTTTTAAAGACCAGAGTTCGAGATGAAAATCTTGTTCTTGACTGAGAGGTTAAACCAGTTTTATCTGCTTGAAACCTAAATCCAGAGATAGATTATTGTTCAGGAATATGTTCATATAATAGATTTGTTTAAAAAGGCAGTTAATGATTCCTATGGAAGTTCTTAAGTAGGAAAAAAGTGTCTGGATTACTGGATAGTGAATGGACTTGTGGGCGAATCTCATTGCCAATTTCAAATGGTCAGTTTATAAATCTTTGACTTTAATAAGAATCCTGGGGAATGTTCTTCAAAACTGAAGCCTGGCTCCCCCTTTTTAAAAAAAAACACCACAAACCAACCAGCTAACTAGTCCCAACTAAACATGTTGCCACTAATTCAGACTCAAGGGAGAATCACTCTAGATCACTTACTGTGAAGTTGGAATCAATAAACTGACCCTCCAGTAGACTTTTAGAGGCAGTAAATTGCATAGAGGAGATTGCTAATCACCTGTGGAGTATCTGGTGGTTTCAAACCCCTTGCCCTTGTCTTGGCAGAACAGTTCCTTAACCATACACCACCAGAGTTCCTCTCTGTCAAAGTAAATTGCCACATCTTTACTGTGGAGTAGTTGGTGAGTTCAGACCACTGACTTTTTGTTAGCCAAGTACTTCACCACTACACCAACAAAACTTGCTTCATTTAGTAATAGTTTTTTATTTGACATAAGGATGAAAACTCTATAGCCTTAACTATTCTCCCTGCCCTCCAAGATGTCCTGTGAGAAATGTTCAGGACTAGATTGTAAAAAACAGCATCATTTATTCAAGTTTTTATTCTCTAGATTAAAGTCATGTTGTTTAGGTGCCATTCAATCAACGACAACTCTGAATAACTCCATGAACAACAGATCTGAACCTTTCCCTGTCCTTTGCCAAGCTAAATGAAGCTTCAGTACACTTTGATTTATGCTGCATTTTGACTTTTCTTTTATGTCCTGTTCATTTTATACTACAAGATGTGGATTAGGAAAAGCTGACACAGATAAACAGTCATAGGAGCTAAAAAGCGCATTAGAGAGTATCAAGTTTTGCTGCCAAGAATTTAATGAAGGAGAATCCCAGACTTGTGATTGATCCTCCATTGTGAAGTAATCTAGTTAAACCTTTGGATGTTATAAGTGGCAAACACTGTACGAGGTGCAGAAATACATTACTCATTTGTAAAGTAAACTGGAGTAAAACCAGTTTATTAATGGTCCTTGGTTATCTCCTGGGCAAAACATAAGCCAAGGAGTTAGAAACTGCCAGTTCTATTTCTGTTTGTGTTACTATCAACTTGGCTATAGTCCAGATCCTGAGGATGAGGCCAAACTGGTCATTTTGCTGCTGAGTCTTCATTTAATGTTCAGCCAGGACTTTCAGCTTCCTCCTTAGCTCTCCCCTTAACACTTGAGTTGTAGTTTATGACCAGTTCTCCAAACCCTGTGTTTTTCAGTCTCCTAATTTAAAAATGGTATCAGTGCCTACCATTTACTCATTAGTAACCGGAAACATCTATCATTATTTGAGAACTTTAGAACTTTTCCTTCCAAGGTTAGTACAGTTAGGACATTTGTTTTGCCACAACAGCTCAAAAATGTGACAGTCAAGTAGACATAACAAGGGTCAGTGTTTGAGGGGGCCAAGAAGTGTCCCCAAGATGTCCTGGAATTTGTGTGTGTGTCTGATGACCAGCTCCTGTGGGCTCATGACTGCCTGAGCAGATAAGGCAGGAATTACTTTTTAAAATTTTGCTGAAGTCCCCTTGAGATAAAAGAGATTTCTGCAGTTTTGTGGATTTTTCATTTTCCACTCTTTAGTTGTCATCATTTTCTTTTAAAATTGTTCAAATGCATTATGGTTTTAATATTAATAACCAAGAGGAACTCAGGACTGACTTCTTCGACATTCCCTCTATCCTCCAGTTTGGTCGTCTTTTCCTCAGTTTGGTCTTCTGTCCCTTAGTTTGATCTTCTGAAAGTTGTACTGGGATTATGTACAGTTACATGTTTCATGCAGGCTTCAAAAGAATTAATTTCCTCCCTGACCCTCTTAAAGGTAGTTCTAGTTCTGTTGAGCACCTTGAAGGGCGTTGTATTATTTTCTCAAATTCTTGTATATTACCACTCTGCAGCACCTAAGTCGTCCTTCAGAAGTATCTTTTTGCTCACCATAGATGGAGACCTTTTTCAAATTCCACAAGTTGGTGAATCTTCAGAAAAATTACAATTCTTAATTTCTGTTCTTGAAAAAAACTTTATAGTCAAGTATATATATGGCTTTTGGTGCCATATGAATGGGAAAATCATACTAGCTCTTTCAAGATTTATGGACCTCTTGGTAACGCATCCATTCTAATATTGGTAGTGAGCAAAGATTATTCGTCAGTTCTTAGAATTATAGCAGTTATTGCCTTTGTTACGTCTTTGTTATAATTGAAATTTCGTTAAAGTGAAACCCAAGAAAAAATTTACTCAGGAGGATTTGTGAGAGTTAAATTACTGATCTATCTAAAGAACCCTCCCAGCCTTTGTTTTTCAACAAGTAATGAAATGAGATGGTAAGCTTTCCAGTATTCAAAGACAAATGGTAAAAGAAAATTTGCCAAAGAGTGAATCTTTGCCACTAAGTGGTTTGGGCCCAGATTAAATGGTATGACATACACTTTGTTCTACAGTTTCCTATTTCCTTTTTTATTGTTGCGTACTGTCTAATCGGAGCCAACTGGCACAGGAGGAGATTGCCCCTCCTCCAGTGGAGCATCTGGTGGATTTGAAGAACATGCCTTTGGAGTTGCAGCACATCTTTTGCCACTAGTCCACCATAGCTCCCTTTCTATTTCCTTTCTTTTAATAGTTTATTACCAAAAACCCCAAAACACAAAAATTTATTACAAGCTTTTATCATTTGCATTCTAAATGAGAAAGGAGAGTTAAACTGAAGTTTTATCCCAGTGATCTTACATGTATAAATATAAAAAGGAAATTTCAAAAGGAAATTCAAATGTACCAAGTTAAATGTATTAACTTTGCTCTCACACTATGAGGAATACTTACTGCAGTGTATAAGTGGCCACTGGGTCTTCCTTTAGAACACCTAGGTTGCATTACCTAATATTTGACTAAATGTAGTCAACTTTGATTTTCTGAGGATAAAACTGTTGGATTGTGGGTTTTTTAATTCTTAAGATTTCCTTTTTGTTTTCTCTTAACCTTTAAAATCATCATGATAAATTTATTCTCATTTCCTCAAGCAGAGGATTTTATTTCATCCTGATTAAAGTGAAAATTGGCTAACTGTTCAGGTCTTAAGCAGAATAATAACCATAGGAATACATCCCTATTCCTTTTTTTGAGAGAGCATTTTCATCTTTTCTGTTGTTGTATACTGTTGAATTGAAACCTGCTCACAGTTGACCTTCCAGTAGATTTTCAGAGGTGTAAATCACATGGGAGACTGCCCATCTTCTCCCCTCCCAAAGCAACTGGAGATTCAAACCTTTGGATTAACAATGCAGTTTCTTACCATAAGCCACCAGAGCTCCCTAATTGTTTCATATGGTCATTTTAAAGCAGTTATGTGAAGTAATCAAGTGTTGGCCTCATTTTGCTGATGAAACAAGATTAAGGCTTTGAGAGATTTAGAGAGATACCAAGTTGCACAGGTATCAAAGGTGCAGCAGGAAGTTGATTTTTTGACTCCTAGTTCTGTTTTTATTAGGTTTCCTCTCTAGAAATACCTAGTCAATTTTTCAGTTCTCTGGAACCTACATTCTCTTCCTCCACAAAACACAAATAAGAAACTTAGGACCCTGTATCCCAAGAACCTCTTTCTATATTATAATCAAACCTAAGAAATGCTGCCTTCCTTCTCTCAGGAAGGTTAAATTAACCAAATAGCTGTCTCATTTTCCCTGGCTTGATACCCAGGCTCCCCAGTATAAACAAGGGAACACACATTACAAATTAGTAAGCCTAGTCTTTTGAGCAAGCTCAGTTTTTAAAAAGCTTGGCAGAGGGGACTTAGCATGGTGTTGGGATTTGTTATCACAAGCTCCTTTAATATAGGTAACTCAGGCTTTTGTTTGTAGAGCAGTTCTCCTGTTGAAGTATTTAAGAATGTTCACTGAAAGCCAAAATTTAACACAAACTTCATCAGTTGAGAACATTAATAATAAAGTGATGGTACTTTTGAAAGCAAAATTTATACTAGAAAGTTGCATAACACAAGGTAATTTATGATAGTTCCTTCTAACTAAAGAATTACTGGTATTTTTAAAGGACTGAACTACTAAAGTAAAACTTTTTTTCTTTTTCTGATACCAAATGTATTCCCAGATTTTTGTAATTTTTTAGTAAGCAAATAAGATCTTTATAGTTAACCTGCCTCACTTAGAAAAGGATCTAAAAATGAAAGGTTTTCACTGCTGCATCCATCCCATGGAGCAGTCACAGCCAAGCCTCCGCTCTGCAGTGCAAAGCCAGAGGGCAGTGTTGCTTCCTTTCCACCAACCAGCCGTTTTCTGGGGATGCTGCATGACGTCACAGCAGGAGTATTGAAAACTATTTCAAAATACACCTTTAATAACCTTTAGGACAAAGCAAGGACAGTATCTACAGTGGACCATCTGCTAGAATAGGATCAGTTCATATTTGAAAGTCCTGGTTCAGTCAGGCCTGATGAGGATGAATTCCCTTAATTCACTAATTGATGTAGCTTAAGCTCATGTGCATTTCAAGTTCCACCATCATATTTTCATTTGGATATAAAACCAGGCTTCCCAAAGTTTAGCCTTTCCCCCTTTCACTGCAAACCTTTGCAGAGTTTTAATAATCTCAAAGTATCTTTGAACCCTCTCTCCAGAAAAATGTACATAAAGTTTATATTTGTCATGGAGTTCACTGACCTGGTTTCCAGGGCCGCAAGTTAAGAATCCCTTGTGATTTGAGCAAAGCAATGGCTCTGGGGAAACACTGACTTGGGGCAGGTAAAGATGGGCTGGGTGATAAAAACTAGGATGGTAGAACAGTCATTTACTGTTTGTTTTTGGAGCAGAGAATTTCTCAGTCCTTTTAGTAGCTGAACTATGGAAGAATCTAAACAGTTACCAGTGCAGGTTAGTAGCTCAAGAAGAGCTCAGCCCTTAAGGACTTAATTTACTTCCTTCACCAGAAACTTTATAAAGTGAGGGGTCATTTTTTATTTTCATTTGATCCTCATGGAAAATTGTATAGCTTCTAGTCCTTTTGAGAGTCTGGGAATAAGTACAGAGAGCACTAGAATATTAGGCAATTAAGGTAAATCCTTGCAATCCCTGAAACAGCCTTTTACTCTTTAAATCTATTATCTGCTTCTATGTATCTTTAACACAGAGGACTATCCTGTATTTATCTAATCTACTCATTAGTTTGTCCAAGAGCCATTTCTGGCATCAGGCAGGCTCCTTCCACTCATATTTGCCGCGGGTGGTGAGAGAAGTGTTGGCTGAAAATTAGATTGTACAACTGAAGTATGAGGCCATCAGCTGTCTAACCTAACACAAATGTTTAGGATTTAATTGTAATCATTCTCCATTCCCCAAATACTCAACAATGATTCTTCTTCAGCTTTAAAGAAACCAAGGACACTTAAGTACTAAAGATAATTTTTATATTTAATCTGAACTATTTATTATAGCACACTAAACCCCAACTCCATGTTGACTGGTGGCCTAGTGGCAAGCAGCTGTGCTGCAATCCCGAAGGTATGCAGTTCAAATCCACTAGTATCTCCGCGGGAGGATAGGCAATCTCCTTCCCCGATTAACTCCTTTTGAAAACTAGCCAAAAGGTCAGCTAAGGGTCGGTTGCGACTCTACGGCACACAACAAACCCCATTCTGTAGAGTCAGAACTAGCAGGTTTGCAGAGGCTAAAAGCTTACCCATCTTTCTCCCGCAGAACAGGAAATTTAAATCACCTACCTTTGGATTGGCAGTGCACTCCTAATCCACTAAACCACCAAAACTCCCTGAAGAGTTGGGTTGGGTTCCCCCCCCCTTTAACCTGAATTGGATATATGCTTACCATGCTAAAACTCATTCAAGAGAAAATTTGGCAAAAAGAAAGTTCTTCCATTAAAGATTTTTGCAAACTGAAAGATTAAATTTCTTTACCCCTCAAAATGCAGTCATGATTTTAAGTTAGCTACAGATCACACTGAAACTGATACACTTACAAATATTAAATTTATTATAACTAGAATGAATTTAATGGTTCTCATATTTGGCCACCTTACAGCTCCGTTTAAGGAGGAGGGGAATTTGTGGGGTTTGTTTTTTGTTTTTTTCCTTTAAACAAACGCATTATAACTTGGTCAGATTACTTGCACATTTAGAAAAGAAAAATCTTCTAGAAAGGAAAACAAGAAAAGCAACCCATCAGATTCACGTAATTAAAGAACAAGAGAAAGCACACAGGCTAGCTACATCATAGCTAAATTTACCAACCAAAGCCGGGGGATTTTCTCTTCTGATTATTTGTCGTAAAAAGGTCCAGTCTTATATACACATGTATATAATGTTACATTCCTTCACCGTAAAAAGTCCCCTTTCCTCCCTCCAAAAGTTTCAGTCTAGTCCCCAAACTTGGAGAGCGGCGCTCACTCCCGCTGCCGGTGCCGTTCGTTCTCGGTCAGCAGCTGGAGGTTCTCGGCGCGCAGCCGATCCAGCTCCTGCTCCAGCTCCCGCACCCGCGCGTCGTCGTCGTTGTCGAGCCGCTTGCTTTCGAGGCGCAGCCGGTTGTTCTCGTCCTCCATGCGCGAGAGGCACTTCTCGAGCTCCAGGTACTCCTTGATGAGCTCCTGCTTGCTCATGTTCTGCAGGCTCTCGGCGTGGTACCGCTCGTACGTCTCCGAGAAGTCCCGCTGCAGAAACTCGCTGCCGTCCCCTCCCATCCCGTCGCTGCCCCCGTCCTCCTCACCCGCTTCTTCCATGAACTCCTCATCGCTCGTGTCGTCCGATTTGGCAGCAGCCCGCTTAGCGTACAGCCCGGTCTTGAGATCCGGCTCCTCCTGGTCGTGGTCATCCATGAGGAACTGCGTGGTGTTGTAGGGGGCGACAGGCTGACCCTTGGCGAACATTTCGGCTCGTATCCGCGAAGCTCGCTGGCTCTGTTTTTCGTCGAACTTTTTCTTCTCCTCCCAGGTCAGCTTGTAGTACGGCTTCCAGTGCCGCTTCTTCTTGGAGGGGCGTCTTCTATGCTTTTTCTTGCCCAGCTGTCTTTGCTGCTGCCCCCACGCCTCCACGCCCCCGGAGGCAGGAGCCTCCAACTTGTTGGCCTCGGAGTCAAGACCGGGGTGGGCGGGGGGCTCGGCCTCGGGCCTCGGCTCTCCCTCCACGGCTGGCGAGGAGGCTCCGCCAGCGGGCAGGTCATCGCCGTTCTGGCCCATCGCGTCCGCTTCGGGGCAGCGAGGGTCTGGGCAGGCCTGGCTCAAGAGGGGAGGTGGCTGGGGCTCCGGGGAGCCGTCCCCCTCCTGCCCCGGACGGCAGCCCGACCGGGGAGATGCTCTCGATTGCCACCTACTGTCCTCCTTGGGCACCCGCTCCTTCGCACCTGGGGGGTGCTCGGGGTTCAGCTCTTCTTGGACAGCAGCGACAGCACCTGTGCAGTTGCTAGTTTGCGGCCCCTGTAGACATTCTGACAGGGTGGGCTCAGCCATGTCTAGTAGAGTCGTCTCCTCAAAGTTTGAAAATGTAGGGCTAAAAGTCCTTAAGGAAAAAAGGTTCTTTTACCAAAATGTCCAACAAAGTCCTCTTCGGCTGCTAAGTCCTGAAGTGCGTCCTCCAGTCAGTCCGTTTGCCAGCAAACTCCAATTGCAACTTGGGGAGCCCGAGGCAGTAAAGGGTTAAAAGGCCCTCAGCGCAGCCAGTTAGTGGATCCAAGGGGGAGCAGTGGCAGGAACAGTACGTAATGTACGAAGAGGATGGGCCTCAAGCCGCCCTGCAGAGCACCCCCACGACCGAAGTGTTAGTGGGAGAAGAGATGAGAAGTCCAAAGGGTTAAATCTACCCCTGAAGGGGTTAAAACTACCCGATGACGCTGCCTCGGAGGGGCTGGATCCACAAAGGGTTAAATCCCTTGCTGCAGAGCCCACAAGGGGTTAAAGTCCCTGAGCCACCTCCTCCCACTTCCACGGGTGTCGCTCCAGTCCGTGCTCCCAGTTTCCTAGGCCCGGCCGGAGCCTCAGCGGAGGACAGACAAACTCATCTCCCCTTTGGCTCGATGCTCTGCTCTCCTCTGCCTCCTCCTCTTTTCCTCCCTCCCTTCTCCTCCTTCAGATGGTTTCTCTTCCGCCTCCTCAGCCTATTTCCTTCCCAACCTGCCTCTCCATCTGCCAACTTCCAACTGCTGTCTCTCAGCCCTCTGCGCCCTTTTTATATAGGAGCTTAGCTGCTCCGCCCCTGCGCACGCGCAGCAAGGTTCCATTAGCCGGAAGCCGGGAGTCGTAGTTCACATCATTTATGCCCGCCGTCCTCGCGCGCCGAGCTACGTAACCAATCCCAGGACGCAGAGGGGGCGTCTCCACAGCCGACTCCTTCCATCGCTTATCCCTCACTAGGGAAACGTAAGAGACCATTGGCTAAGAGTCAGTGAGCTCGCCGAGGAAGGCGGGCTCTGGATCATACCATTATGCTTCAAGAGTACTAGAAAATTCCGTGGCTTCTGAGGGGCTACGCAAAATATTTTTATGAAAAAGTGCGTTTTAAAAGTTATTTTCTTATTTTATCCTTAGCAGAAGAGTTATTGAAGTCACAAGCACTTGCTAACTAAATGGGGGGAATGGTTTATCCCTGAAAAGTAGTCCCCAAAGTGTAAAACTGGATTAAATGTTAAAAAGAGAGAAACTGGCCCACAGCTATTAAGTCCCAATTCTTAAGATTATAGTAATGCCTTCAAAATGTCTAGTTGGCGCCTGGAATTACTATTTGCAGAAGGATATTGTGAACCCATTTTGTAATATACCTAAAAGCTCACCAAGAAGTAAACAAATGAATAAAAAGTGCCGCCTTAAAGGGACAGTGCGACTGCATTTAGCACAGAAGCCCTGGACTAGGCCGCAGAAAATGAGAGGGCGGGTTCGAGTCCTGGGTGGCGGTAACTCGGTGACGCGCAGCCCCTGGACCGCCACTGGCCACCTCCGCCCGAGAGCTTAAAGCAAAATGGTGATTCGCAGTCGCGCCTTTCTCTGGGTGAGGATGAGGAGCTCAGGGCCTGCGCCTGGACAGCTGGACGAGAAGACCTCGCCCTGAGTCTTAGCTCTGTCGAAGAAAATGGCTTCCAGGGGACGACTTGGTCTCTTCCCTTAGCATCAGGAGCATTTCCTGAGCTCGGGTGGGGGCGGGGTGGGGTCCAGGCTAGCCGAAGAGCCTCTTAGTTGGGGTGGGGCGAGGTCGAGATGAATCATCAGCCCTGGGTAGTGAAAGGGAGGGAGTACCATCTGCAGAAGCCTTGCCTCTGTGGGCGATGTGGGTTTTCCTGAGGAGGAGGGTCTCTGAAATGGGGAAAGCAGGAGAAATTATGAACAAATCTGAACCCTGCCCTAGCCTGTGCCATCCTCATCTCTGCCACACTAGAATTCATTGTTACAGCTAGCTTTTGTCAATCCATCTCCCTGAAAGCTTTCCCATCCTTCACTGACCCTCCACTTTCAAGCATGATGTCCTTCGAAGGACATGCCCAAAGTATGTGAGACAGTTTGACTATCCTTTCCTCTAAAGAGCACTCTGGCTGCCCCCTCTCCAAGACATATTTGTTCTCTTGGCAGTCCATAGGATATTTAGTACTCTTCCTCAGCATCACAACTCCAAGGCATCAGTTCTTCTGTTCACTAATAGATGCATAGCAAGTCATTGAAAAGACAATGACTGGCATCAGGCTTGGATGTTAAACTAACATTCTTGCCTTATCTCCATCTATCATGATATTGGCCCAGTAGGGGAGATTTTTGTTTTCTTGATGCTGTGATGAAAGCTATAGTCCTTGATCTTCTGCAGCAAGAACTTCAAATCCTCTTTCCCTGCAGCAACCAAGGTTATGTCATCTGTATATTGCAAGTTGTTGATTCTTCCCCTGATCCTGATGCCACATTCTTCCTCCATAAAGTCCAGTTTCTCAAAGGATACAACCCTGATTAACACTTTTCTTGATTACAAACCATGCAGTCTGTTCTGATAACCACCTCTTGGTTTATGTATAAGTTTGACATAAATAATAGGGGATGGATTTTCCCTTGAGAGAAATTGCCTCTGTAAAAAGAGCAAGGGCCATGTGGGGATGGCCATATCTGACATTTACCAAGTTCACAAAGAGGAATTGACCCCATTAGCAGCAGAAAATCAATTCCAATGAGGTCAGATATACCCCAACACTTCTTTTTACTCATCCCAATACCAATTATATGGCTTTACTGGATCCAAAATCTTATGCAATAACTCAGACCACACAGAACCATACTGGGGAAGTCAAAAGGTTATGATCCAGGTTAGAAACAGAATATAGTCAAGACAGCTTCCAAAATGAGCTCACAGGCAACTCAGCTTTGATCCTCGGTGGAGGGTAGCAGTCCTCATGCTGGTTTTCTGCTTTAGCTGCCATAGCTGTTACTCTGGTCCTGAAGGACACGTTGCAGTCTCTGGTTGCTGTTGCTTTACTGGGAAGGGTGGGAGGACACGAATGATTTCTTCTTCTGCTGGACTGCTTAATTTATTAGCAAGACTAACTAACTATTCCTCTTGTGAGAAGTGGGCATGTTAGCAAAGTCACACAATGTGGCAGACATGACAAAGTCAAACAATGGCTGGGAAAGCCACTTTGGATAAACCCTTAACTCCACACTCTCACGTCCTGAGCCCCCATCCAAAGAATAGGATCTATGATGGCCAAAACTCTCCATAATCACTTAGTCCTAAAGTGTTTCTTTTTATTTCTTCTGTGTCCACCCATTCTCATTTCTTAATAGTTACAGTTTATACATTTCTACCACTTTGCACCTAGTGCCCTTTTACATGTGGACCCTTTGACCTATCCACAGCGCAGTGAATTAAACAGGGTCTGAATTCTCATCTCCATTTTATATGTAAGGAATCGAAATTGCTAAGACTCAGAAACTAAGTACAAGGTTTAATGACATGACGGTACCCGACACAACACAGATCTTTATAGCACACTATGCCTTATTAAAAAAAAAAATCTGAAGCTTCGTCTGACATATTTTGGACATATTGCAAGGTGGGACTAGTCCTAGGTTAGGGAGAGCATGAGAGGAAGACCCTCAGTGAGATGGATTGATTCAGTGATTAGGGTAGTGAGGGTAGGGGTGTCAGAGACAATTAGATTGGCACAGGATAGAGCAGGGTTTAGGGCTGTTGTACATAGGGTCACTGAGTTGCAGGCAACTCAACAGCAAATAACAGCAAACAACATAATTCTTAAGAACTCTGGATATGGTTCCTTTTCATTCCCAGCAACTCTAACAAACTTCAGGTTCTTATTCCTTCATTTAGTAAACATTTGTTAAGTGGGCAGAAGGTTGATTTAAATGTCATCTTTGCTCTCAGGTTGTTCATGGACTATGTGGAGTAGCCACCAAATCATATTTCGGTAGGGAATGAGCCAAAATGCCAGTGAGAAAAATCTCTCTCTGAGCTCGTGAGCCAAGTTTTCTGGGAGCTGGGAGTGGTGGACAGGTTTTATGGAGGTGATATGCTTGGAGGATGGAGAGTTTTCCCAGGTAGTGTAGTACAAAGAGGGGCATTCTATGAAGATATTATGTGCCATTGTGTCGACTACGACTCATAGTGCTCCTATGAACCCTTACCTTTCCTGAGACAACATCACCATCTCTGACACGTCTTATCCCATTGCCACTGTCACTGTGTCTATCTCGTTTGGGGTCATCCTCTTCTGTGTTGACCCTTTACCCTTCCAAACAATCTGTCCTTCTCCAAGGATTGGTTCCTCTTGGCAACATGCCCATGTATGTGAGACAGAACTTAAAAATCCTTGCCTCCAAGGAACAACCTAGTTTCACCCTCTCCAGGACAGGCCTGTTTGTTCTCTTGACAGTACCTGGTGTATGTTTAATACTCTTCTCTAGCACCACAACTCACAGGCATAGACTCTTCTATCATCCTGAGTCATTGTCTAGCTCTCAGATACATAGCAAGCAACTGAGAAGACCACGGTCTAGATGAGGTACACCTTAGTCTCTAGACTGATGTCATGGCTGTTTAGCACTTTGGAGAGGTCCTTCACAGCAGATTTTCCCCATGCAGCCTCTTTTGATTTCCTGACTGCTAGTACCAAGGGGATGTTGATTATGGATCTAAGCAAGATGAAATTGTTAAAAACCTCAGCCTTTTCTTCATCTATCATGATGCTGTCTATTGGCCCAGTAGTGAGGATCTTTGTCTTGTTGATGTTGAGATGCAATCTATATTAAAGAACGCAGTCTTTGACCCTCTGCAGCAAGCGCTTCAGGTGCTTCTCATTTTCATCGGGCAGGGTGTGCCATCTGCATAATGCAGATTATTGATGAGTCTTCATCCAATCCTGATGCCACTTTCTTTATCATGAAGTCCAGCCTTTCATATGATCTGCTCAGCATAGAGATTGAAAAAGTATGGAGAAAGGATATATCCCTGATGCACTCCTTTCTTGTTTTTGAACCATGCACTATTCCCTTGCTCTGTTCTGACAACAACATCCTGTTCTAGATACAGATTTCACAAGAGCACAATCAAATGTTCTGGGATTCCCAGTCTTTTTTTCTTTTCAAAAAATTCCCATTCTTCTTAATGTTAGTCACAATTTGTTATGATCCATACAGTCAGATACCTTTGCACAGTTGATAAAACACAAATAAACATCCTTCTGGTACTCTCTCTACTTTAGCTATAATCCATAGCTAAGAAAAGCAAGCATCATATCCAAAGAACTCAGGAGCACTTAGTGAGCAGTGTATAGTGGAACAGTGGGGCAGGCCCCGTGTAGACATGCAGGCTTCAGAGTGCCTCTAGAGGACATCACAGTTTTTTATATTGGCCATTTCAGACTCTCACTCTCCTAGTTCCCCTGGACTTCTGATAATTCAGGTCTATCTAAAAAGCTTGCTCTCTGCTTTTCTAACCATTAACCAAGACTTTCAGAGCTAAGAACTGACCCCTTACACTATAAGTATCCAGAGGTAAAAGGGTTTCACAGTGTAGTCAAGGGGGAGGAGACCTCCAAATTGTTAACCACATTTTCAGATCACTCCTACATATCCCAATAAGAGGATCTAGAAGATACAGCTGAATCCAACCACAGCTTACTGGCAAGGATAAGCTGTAAGGTCTCATTTGTCAAAATGGGGGAGGGGGAATAAAACAGATTTTGTGGAACTTTCTAAAATTATGTCAAAGAAAGGGTCAGACCCTTTGATATTAATTACATCTGCAGGTGGAGGGATGATGAAGGAGAGGAAGACCTTCAACCAGGTGGACTGACAATGACTGTAGCAGTGGGCTTGACAGTGTCAGAGATTTTGAGGATGACACAGGATAGGACAGGGTTCAGATCTGTTGTTCATAGGGTTGTGATGAGTCGTACTGAAGTCTACAACACCTAATAACAACTCGTATTTTCCATGCCCTGGTCATTTAAACAGCAGGACTGGTTTAATGATGAAAAGAGCTTTGTCTCTTTCATAGTCAGGGTAGCCCTTAGAGACCCCTTCCCTAGCTCATCAGGACGGGGCGAAGACAAGGCTACCGCTGGGCCTGGTTCTTCCAGAAATTTCCTTGAGATAGCCAAGGAAGGGGAGGCCGAGATTAGGGTTTGGGTGCCTCTTCCGACCAGGGCGTGGGGCTGGGAGGTGCAGGCCGAGATCCCTTCCTGTCACCCCGAGCTCCCTAAGATCCAGCCTCCAATGGGCTGGGCTGCCGCCCTCAGTCCCTCCCGCCTAGGCTGTGGTTGGCCTCTCCCCTCCCCTCCTCACCCCCCACCTCCTCCTCTCTCTGTGCACCTCCTCACCCTCCCTGTCCTCGAGACCCAAACCAGTTTTCCATTCTCTCACCCAGGAGGAGGGAAAATAGTTCTTATTTAAAAACCCCAACTAGTTTCCCTTGGGCCTTCAACAAAGAGTGAGGGGTGGGGGTGCAGGAATGGGGTTTGTACTCGTGCGCCCTAGTCCAGGCTCCTTTCCTCACTCACTCCGTGGGGTCACAGAAGGCAGATTAAGGTTTTCTTTTATTTAGTGAAACATTTGTAAAGTGAATTTTCAGTGAAGACGTCCTGAGTGTGTGTAGGGCGGCCTTGAGGGCCGAAGGTCAGGCAAAATCACTGCTTTGCTTCCCGGTCCCAGGCCCGTCCAATCCCCTTCCCCAGCACATCCTCCCAGCCAATCATTGGCTCGGGCCCCGGCCAAGTCCCAACTTGTCCCAGAGCTGAGCCTCCAGGGGAGAAGCTGGAGAGGAAGGCATCAGGTGACCTGGAGGGTGGGGAGGGGGCAGGCCCACCCCGTCGCCGCTGACCTCACGGTAGGCTCCCTAGGGGAGGCTGGGCGGTTGGGGGAGGGAGCTTCTTGGGAAGCTGCGGGGAAGAGTGGAGTCATCTCCTTCCCCGTTAGGGAAGGGGGTGGGCGTCAAAGCCAACATGATTTAATGCCTTCCTCTCCCAATTTTAGAAGGCTCAAGACACAGCAAAACAAGGGGGCAAGTAGCCTTCCCTTCTCAGTTGGCTGCAGAGACCTCTCCATTAAGTCACCTCCTCAGGGTCCGAAACTGTCTGAAGAGCCACTGGACAACGAAGGGCCACAGGAGGAAGAAGAGCAGCGTGGGACCCGAGAGCCTGAGGGGCCATGGTCTGGCACTGGGTGGAGGTCTCTGTTGTCAAGAGGAGGGAGTTAGGGACCAGCCCAAGTTTCAGCACAAACTGATCCTCCTTCCGACCCCTTCCTGAGCTTAGTGGGTGTTACATATGACTCTTGATGACAGATTCAGACAAAACCCTCCCACATCCTCTGGCCCAGGGCAATCCAAGGTAGGGGAAGAGCTGACATGGCAAGGAAAAGCTTCTAGCCCGTTTCTACACCACAAAGCAGTGAGCCTGTTGGCATGATCTAAAGACATCGTGATGTTTTTGAGTTGGTTATCACAGGTAGTAAATTGCAGGGGAGGAGATTGCCCACCCTGAGGAGCTGCTGGTGGGTCGGAACAGCATGGCTTTGGTTTGGCAGCTCGGCTTCTTACCCTAGGCTCCCTTGAAGGCATCCTATTGCCACATATTCCAAAGGGCCTTGGCCATTCAAATTTTGTTTCTAAACACCCATTTCCCATGAAAAGGATTTAGAACTCCTTAGGGAAGTGATTTCTGGAAGAGAAAGAAGTGAGTGTGGGATATTTTGAACCAGAAAGCATAAAACTTTAAAAGGGTAGTGAAGTCTTGTTAGAAGGACAGAATTAGCTTGAAAGGGTCTCTACTGGTTAACCTGTGACAGTCCGAGTATTAAAAGGAATGATGAATGATTATTGCAGTTGATTGAAATATTGAGTCTTAAAATTCCAAGAGCCATTAATGATACTCAAAAAAAGAAAAATTTTTCACCAGTGAGGTGACTTGTTGAATTAACTTCTTACTTTAAAGAGACAGCATTAATCCTGCCTTCTTAGAGGGAACTGTATTTCAGGAATATCCTAGAAGATCAGAGAAAAAGTTTTGCTTTACAGAAAAATGGCAACACATGTTGAAATAATAAAATTTAGAAATAAACATTTTCTTCAAAAATTATCTATTCAGGCAAGGATTATTAATGCTGTTAAAAACCATATGGCAAATGGAGTTATCGGGGAACTAAACATTTTTGAGGTGCCAGTATAACACAAAGAAGAACATTCCCTGGTTGCAGGAGGAGGATGTGACTTTACAATGGTGGGGTCAGGCCGATATCCCGATAATCCATGAAAGTGGTCCATGCTAGAAATACTAACTGATAGGACGACAGGCATCATTGTCCCTTGATGTGAAGAATGTATCTGCTGTAATTTGGTCAAAACCAAGTAAAATATGTAGCAAAACAAAACCATGAGGATGTAAGGAAACACCCTCAGAAGATGGGCATCCTGCAGCATTCCTGGGCCATTGTCATCACAGTGTAAGTAGCAAGGAAGAGGGATTGTTCCTCTAGATGAGAAGAGATTAAGGGAACATAATGTAAAGTATGTGGTCCTGGGCTAGACAGACAAAGCTACCAGAAAGGCCAAGCTTGAAACAGCTGGGGAGATTAGAACTTGGATCACACATTTAATGATATTAAGAAATTACAAATAGTGTGGTAACTATTTTGACTGGAGAGTAGAATGTTCTTACTTTTAGAGATGTAAACACAGATATTTAGCAGAGGAACCTTGGCTTAGGATCTATAACCATTACCAGTTACCGCTGAACCAGTTCTGACTCATAGTGACCCATGTGTGTCAGCAAGACGGTGTTCCCTCAGGTTTTCAGTGTCTCATTTTTCTAAATCCGAGCCTCTAGGTAGACTTGAATTGCCAACTTTTGAGTCAGCATCTAAGCATTTTAGCCATTTATAAGTCCCAGAGACCCCGCCCCCAAGCCCAGGCATATAATATAAAAACTTGAAATCACTGCACATAAAGTCAGTGGGTGAGTTTCATCATCAAGTCAGAACTGACCCATAGCCAACCCTCCAGCGGTTTTTCAGAGGTAGTAAAACGCACAGAAAGAGACTGCCTTATCTTTCACTCACAGAGCAGCTAGTGGATTCAAACTCTAGGTTGGCAGCACAGCTCCTTACTATTAAGACCCTAGAGCTCCCTATAAAGTCAGTAAAAGGTGAAGTCCTGGGAGAGGGAGAAGGTTCTGGAAAGTGGGCTTCTGTGGGTATGAGGAACTACCTGGCACCCTGGTAGATGCCAACTATACTAAGGAGTCCCTCAGGGATCCTCCACATCCAGGTGTCAGACAGGGAAAGTCTGGGCCACTCTCAGTCACATCACCTCTTGTTCCTAACAGTAATAACAAGGGCTTCCTGTGTGCTGAGCTTAGTAGAAGCACCAGCACATATGATCTCACCCAATCCTCACAGCAACGCTGAGGGTCATCCAGGCTGTGCACCCTCAGGAAATAACCTCTCAGAGTCTTAAGATTCCTCATCTGTAAAATGGAGATGACAAGAACTATTTCATAGAGCTGGTGAGTGATTAACATGAGGTCTTATAAATAGCATATTTGGCACAGTTGGAGCTCCAGAAATGGCAATTGTTACTTAATCTGCAGAGCCTAGGGGTCAACGTGAAAGGGGCAAGCTGAGCTACGTACTGAAAGGAGTGAGGGACGGAAGGGCCGAGGTGTTTAGGGAAAACTAACCAGACTTACCTGGAAAACAAAAGCTTGACCGAAAGTCAACAAGGGCCCCAACCCCAGTGTAGAGAGCAAATCGTCACCACCCTTCCAACTCTCAAAATTCCTTATCCTACTCCTTTTTCTTCATGCACAAGGGAGGCAAAAACGAGGGGACAGCCCTCCCCACTCTCTTACAAGTGGAAGCACTTTAGACCCTTGGCTTCCCTGCTTATACCATAAGCCACTCTGAGCCTGGAAGAGGCATGTGATGGGCAGGCAGAGACATAACAGTGGCAAAGCAGCTGAGTGAGAAGGCTGGAGTTGGAACACCCAGATAAGTCCACGTCTTAATGGGGTCAGGGGGCTTCACCTGTTTGTGGGGGCGAGGCATGCTCTCCAGGCTCTGCAGTCTCCCCTGGACATCCTGCATGCTTTCTTGTAGAGCTCGAACTGTCCCCACCAGCCATGTGTCCAGTTCCTGGGGTCCCAGCAAGTTACCCCTCAAGTCCTCTGCAGAGCACAGACAGGGATAGGTGACTAGGAGGCAGCTCAGCTAAAGGTCGCGTAAGGTGGTGGCAGACTGGGCACATCCCTGTACCATGTGCAACTCCTGCAGAGGCCATCCTTGTTAGAATCCTGGCACTAACTCTTAACCAGCTGTGTGACTTTGGGCAAGTCAGAAACTTCTCTGAACTACATTTTGTCATCTGAAAATTTCAAGTAAGATGCCCTTTGCTTTATAAAGTTGGTCACTCAAATAAGTAAGGGACATAACGTATATGAAAATACTTCTAAGAGCCTTGGCACACGGAATTTCTAGAAGGGAGAGAGGGTATTGTTTTCCTTTGAGAGCCCTAAGTGAGAGGCCCAGAGGGGGAGTAACTTCACCAGACCATGAAACTGTAGGTGGGAGAGGACTCATCTTTTCTCAGGACAGAGGCTGTGGACTCCTGGCTGGCCTTTGGGAGAGGAGGCAGGGCAGGGACTTTGCCCACCCAGGTGAGTATCTGCCTGTGACAGAGGTTACTCTCTTGGTGCCCAGCTCTGGACTTTTACCTCTGCCCTAAAAGTACAGCACTGAGGGAGGCCTGAGTGCTAGGACTTCAGGGAAGGGCAGAGGAGGGTGAAAGGTCAGCAGGGGCTCACCTTTTTCCCTGGAGGCAGTGGGCCCAGGGCTGGTCCTGCTGTTGGTCTCTCCTGGAGCTCCCCTCTGCTCAGCCCAGCCCTGTGGAGATGAGTCACAAGGCTTGAGGGTAGGTGGGAGCAGCCACCGCACAGTGGGTGTGGGATCTGGGATCTGTGGGGGGGACAAGGTCTCACCAGCTCTGGCTCCAGCTGCTCCAGGGAGTCACAAAAAACCTCAGAGTCCAGATCCCTGGGAGGTTGGGATTCTGGGGAGAGAAGAGGTAGAATTATTGCTGAAGCTACAAAGGAAAGAGAAGGAGCATGGAGTGGACAGATCATCTACTCGGGGCCAGTCTTTGTGGAGACTACCATAAGGGACACAAAGGAGTAACACACAGAAGTGAGGCTGCAGAACAAAAACCCCAGAACGCACACCCTGGCATAAGGAGCCCAGAATCTGCCCTGGCACAGATTTGAAAGTGCAGGGTACGTGGCATAAAGAGTAAGGCATGGCATCCCACTTTCTCCCTTGCCATCAGGAGGTCCCCAGATCTGAGTTTGCCTCTCTGCCTCTGCCGCTCAGGCACTGACCTGGGCCCGGAGAGGTGGGGTCCTTAGGGGGGCACGGAAGTTCCTTATTAGCCCCACCATTTCCGTTCAGCACCTGCTCCTTCTGACCTGCTGAGACACAGCACCCAGAGTTGGGTCTAAGGGGAGGCTGTTACCTCTACTCCCCACCAGCTACAGGTATGGCCCAAGTCCCGTTTCAGTGGAAGTACTGGTTGAGGGTCTGTCTTACAGGGTCATCACCTGGCATCTCTGCCTCCAGCCCCCCTTACCCCAACTGAGTAGGCCCCTCACCATGCCTGACCTGTAACTCTTCTCAGGAAGGCTTCTGGGGGTCTTGGCATGTCAGGGATCATCTGGTACAGAGGCTCGAAGTAACCAAACATGTCCTCTGCTACCTCACCCAGTGGCACTGTGTCGATCACCTGTGGACAAGAGGGCTTGTTGGGGCTGGCTGGCCTGCTGGTTTCCCACCACTGCCCCCTCCATGTTCCTCCAGCTAAGCCCTCCACCTGCCCCTATCCTGCCCTGCCCACTCCACCTTCCTTCAGCCAGGGAGGAGAGATGGGCAGGCTGGAGGCAGCATAATGGTGGTGGTTGTCATGGGGGTATCCTGTGCTGAAAACATCAAGGTCAGCACTGAGCGGTGGCGGCAGGCCACTGGGGTGGGAGCTTAGCAGGCAGCCCTCCTACCTTCTGTGCCACCACCTTCATCTCAGCAATATAGGCGGACATGGCTTCCTCCCTGCTCATCTTGCCCAGGCTGTTCCAGGCATCCCTGGAGGGCAGAGGGCTGTGAGAAGGCCAGCTGACAGCAGAGACTTGCTTGCCCCTCTGGTGGGGAGCTCACCACTTATAGCGTCCAATAGGGTCCCAGAAACCAGGCCTCGGAACCAGGCAGGGCCCCATGGTAGCTTGTTTGTAGTAGCTGTAGAACCGCAGCATCTCTTCGTAGGAGGGACGGTAAGAGCCTGGGCAGGGGTTGGGAAGTGGAGAGCAGAACATCAATCCCAGCCTCCTGAGGATCAAGATGGAGGTGACCCACCCCTGAGTGGACAGAACTGCTGAGGGCCTCCCTAGGGAGTCGGACCCAAAGGTTGATCCATAGGGCAGCACAGGTGGGCTAGAAGCCTTCTGTAAGAATTTCAGGAATTTGAGCCACTTTCCCCCCAGAGGCCAGATCCTAGCAGGTCCAACACCCGAAATAAATGCCAGTGCCCAGAGTGACCCCCGCCTCACCGTTCTTGGGCAAGCTCTGAATGACGCTGACTGCAGCCTGGAACTGCTGCTGGCAATCTGGCGCTGGGCCTTCATCCTCGGTGCCCATATCCAGTTGTTCCAAGGCCTGGAGCCCGACTTGTGAGCGGTTCTGCAAGAGCAAGTCCCATAATGGCAGGTCTGTGCCCACTCACTATATACTCCTAAGAGTCTCTGATCTTACAGGAGAATAGAGCCTGAGTGGGATACCCTGGGAGGAAAGTCGGAGGGAACCAAGACGAGGCTGAGAGACACTCCTTTTCCTACCCCAAGTGTTGAAGACCTCCAGGATCATCAGGGAGTGGGCGGAGAGTCAGGTGATAAGGGTCCCCAGTGTGAGATATGTCCCCAGACGCTCCTTTTTTAGGGACGCATCCCCAACTCCTAGACCAGCAAATAGGTAAGTGAAGGAGTCAGGGCGGGGCAAACAATGCCTCTCCCTGGCTCCCCGCATCCAGACCTAGTCGCCTCGCACTTACCCGGCAGCGCCCACTGCCCGGACACCTGAGCCCTCTTTCGCCACTTGCCGGAGGCTTCCGACTGACCTCAGGGCACAAACAGGCCTGGGGGAGAACAAGGGACAAGGGAAGAAACTTTAGCCAATAGGAGAGCGTGTTTCACATTCGGCTTCTACACCTCAACCACTCAGCGTGACTCTTTCAATATATGCAAATAGTTCCATGGGACCTCTCCCAAAGAGGCGGGGCCAATATGCGGGCTCGGTTCTCCGCCTCCGGACCGCCAGAGGCGGATGGCAGCGCTCCCTGGTGGACACGGTGAGATTACATCGAGTCCGCGCGCCACCTTGTGGCCACCCAGCTCCGGTGCTGACGCAACTAACAAGAGTAAGCAGAAGGAAGGACCTTCACAAAGAGCTAACTACAGTATCAAAAGTACAGATTGTTACTGTTGTTGTGATGTGCCATCGAGTCGCCTGCGAGTCATAGCGACCTTACGTACAACAGCTCTGAAGCCTGTCCTGTCCTGAGCCAATCTCATTGACTCTGACCCACCAACCCTCCATTGCCCCAGTTATTATTGTATCAATCCATCTCATCCTGGATCTTCCTCTCCTGCACTGTCCCTTCACCCTTCCAAGCACGATGTCCTTCTCCAATGACCTGTCCCTCCTGGCCACATGCCCAAAGTATGAGAGACTGAGCTTCAAAATCCTAGCCTTCAAGGAGAAAACTTGGTTTCATCCTCTCCAAGACAGACCTACTTGTTTTCTTGGCAGTCCAGGTATGTTTAAGACTCTCCTCCAGCACCACAACTCAAAGGCATCAATTCTTCTGTTCTCCTTAGTCTTCGTCCAGCTGTCTAATATATAGCAAGTAATTGTGAAGACCATGGCCTAGATCAGGCGCACCTTGGTCTTTAGACTGACATCGTTGCTTCTCAGTGCTCTGGAGAAGTCCCTGACAGCAGATTTTCCTAATGCAATATGTCTTTTGATTTCCTGACTGCTGTTGCCAAGAGTGTTGATTGTGGAGCTGAGCAAGCTGAAATTGTTAACAACTTCAACTTCTTCTCCATCTATCATGATGCTGCCAATTGGCCCAGTGGTGAGAATCTTTGTCTTCTTGATGTTGAGTTTCAATCCATATTGAAGACTACAGTCCTTGACTTTCTGCAGCAAGCAAGGAATTCAGGTCCTCCTCAGTTCGAACAAGTAAGGATGTGTCATCTGCATAATGTAGATTGTTGATAAGTCTTCCTCCAATCATGCCCATTCCTCCTCATAAAACCCAGCCTCTTGAATAATCTGTACTGCATATAGATTGAAACGGTGTGGAGACAGGATACATCCCTGATGCACTCCTTTCCTAATTTTGAACCATGAAAAAGTACAAAGACTATGAACGAAACACGATGTATACATATGATTGTAAAAACACAAAGCACACATACAAAATAACAATATATAGGCATGACCGCACACAAACCAATAACTTTTAAAAAAAAGTACAGGCGCTAAGACTAGTGCCTCAGGACCCCAAAAGGCCAAGGGGTCCTTAGCCACTATGCAGAGTCTCTTCTTGTCACAGGCTATTGAATCGTCTATAACTCATGTTTGTTGTTGTTGTTAAGTGTCGTTGAGTCATAGGCGACTCATAGCGATCCTATGAACAAAAGACCTGCACACTTGCATAATTTCATCCTTTCTCCAGGTTCATAGGATTTCCAGAAGCTAGCTATTTCGGAAGTGGATGCCACTCATGCTTCCAAGCTTGTTCCAACTCATAGCGACTGTATGAATAACGGATCTGAACTTTGCCCTATACTGCATCATCATCATGATTTCTGATATACTTGAGCCCATTGTTAGTCACTATGAATTGATCTTGTTGGAAGTCGTCTTCTCTTTCTCTGATCTTATACCTTTCTCAGCATGACGTCCTTTTCCAAGAATTGGCTCTTCCTGACGATATATGCTCAAAGTATGTAAGATCAAGTTTCACCATATTTGCCTGTAAGAGATACCCCGGGCTGCACTTCCTCCAGGGCAGATTTGTTTGTTGTTGTCCAAGGGATATTCAGTACCCCTCTGTTAACACCACACTTCAAAGACATCGATTCTCTAAACAGAATCTCTAGGTCTGGGATTTCTGAGAATGGGATAAGCAAGTAGATGGCTAACCTGTTGCTGTTGTTATGTGCCATCAAGTCATTTGCGACTCATAGCGACCCTATATACAACAGCCCTAAACCCTGCTCTATCCTGTACCAATCGCATTGCCTCTGACACACCCATCCTGATTACCCCAGTCACTGAATCAATCCACCTCATAGAGGGTCTTCCCCTCCTGCGCTGTCCCTCCACCCTTCCCAAGCATGATGTCCCTCTCCAAGGACCTGTCTCTCCTTACAATATGTCCAAAGTATGTCAGGCGAAGGCCCAGAATCCTTGCCTCCAAGGAGTAGCCTGGTTTAACCCTCTCCAGGATGAAATGTTTGTTTTCTTGGCAGTCCAGGGTATATTCAATACTCTTCTCCAGCACCACAGCTCAAAGGCGTCAATTCTCCTTCTATCCTCCCTAGTCATTGTCCAACTCTCTGATGCATAACAAGTGATTGCAAAGACCATGGCCTGTACCAGGCGCACCTTAGTCTCCAGAGAGACACTTGCTCTTGAGTACTTTAGAGAGGTCCCTAACAGCAGACTTTCCCATCGCAATACGTTTTTTTATTTCCTGGCTGCTGGTGCCAAGAGTGTTGACCGTGGAGCCGAGCAAACTGAAGCTGTGAACAATCTCAATCTCTTTGCCATCCATCCTGATGCTAATCTAGGAGCTGGAATGCTAAGCTCCTGGTAGCCGCCTGGTGGCGCTACGCACCCAACTCTCGGTCGCAGACTCAGGCAACTAGACACTGACTATGCAAACACTCGCACCAGCAGAACTTTAGTTACCTGTACATTTCACCTTTTGCTCACATACTGAAGTGGGTTAACATAACTACTGCACACCTGACACAAATCACCACGCCGACCCCATGCGAGAGCTCACTAATGGATTGATGTCGTGGTCATGACGTGCCATGCTGAGGCCGGCTCGAGCAAACCCCGAACGTGTTCGAGTCAGGCCGCCTAAAACCAACTGCAAGAGACTCTAGATTTAATCTCATCCCATCTTCTCCAGATTATTCACCACGAGTACTTCCACCATCGTGGGCGCGCAGCGGACCAAACGCCACAACCGAAGCATTCCTGTTCCCCTAACCTAGGTGTCTGGGGTCCCCGAGGATCACCAACCTAGGACGAGTCGCATGTTGACGCCCCGCTCTTTCCCGGAGGCCTAAGAGGTGGAATGGGGGAGAATGAAGGACAGAAGGACAGGGAAGTCGCTTTGAGTTAGGGTCTTCAAAAAGGTAAAGAATCTGTGCCAGGAGGCAGCTGTTGCTCACTGCGGGGCGCCCCCAGAAAGGGGGCTGAGGCCAGCGTTAAAGGACCAGTCAAGGAATGAGGAATCGGAACCTCGAGGCAGGGTCGAACACGGTATCTCAGGCCCTAGGGGAAAGAGCAGGTGAAGTCCGAAGTCAGTGCCACACACCTCCCCCCGCCCCCGCCCCGGCCCCCTCCCCGCTTCCTCAGCCCC